GAGATTGACGAGAAGACCACCTCTTACACCTACCGCTCGCCCACCGGCCTTCTGTCTGCCACTCAGTTCACTCAGCCTGCCCTGACCCTCATGGAGAAGGCCAGCTTTGAGGACATGAAGTCCAAGGGCCTTGTTCCCCGAGACTGCACCTTTGCCGGTCACTCTCTGGGTGAGTACTCTGCGCTCGCCGCCTTGGCTGAGGTCATGCCCATTGAGAGTTTGGTGTCGGTCGTCTTCTACCGTGGCTTGACCATGCAGGTCGCTGTCGAGCGTGACGCCGCTGGCCGATCCAACTACTCCATGTGCGCCATTAACCCAAGCAGAATCTCCAAGACTTTCAACGAGGAGGCTCTGCAGTTCGTTGTTGACTGCATCTCCGAGGAGACTGGCTGGCTCCTTGAGATTGTCAACTACAACATTGCCAACATGCAGTACGTCGCTGCTGGTGACCTGCGCGCGCTCGACACCCTCACTGGCGTCACCAACTTCCTCAAGCAGCAAAAGATTGACATTGAAGAGATGCGTGGCAACATTGACGAGGCCAAGGGTGCTCTCAAGGAGATTATTAAGGGCAGCGCCGAGGCTACCCTCAAGAAGCCCACGCCCCTGGAGCTCCAGCGTGGCTTCGCGACGATTCCTCTCCGCGGTATCGATGTGCCTTTCCACTCGACCTTCTTGCGGTCTGGCGTCAAGCCTTTCAGATCGTTCCTTCTTAAGAAGATCAACAAGACGACGATCGACCCTGCCAAGCTTGTTGGCAAATACATCCCCAACGTGACGGCGAAGCCTTTCGCCATCACCAAGGAATACTTCGAGGATGTGTACAAGTTGACCAACTCGCCCAAGATTGCTCAAATCTTGGCGAACTGGGATCAGTACACCCAGGACGGCCCTGGCCCCAACGGAGTTAACGGCCTCGCTGGTGAGCACGAGGGCCCCGGCGCTGCGGCATAAGCTGTGTGTGCGCAATTGACGGAAGAGGAAATCTGGCTACGGTATAGCGAATGACAAAAAAGGTGGAGGAAGGCATTGAATGACTCTAGACGGCATAAGCGTTGTACAAATTAGGGATGTGGTTTCTTGATGACTGTTTTATCATGCTGCGTTTAGAAAGCTTTGTGTTTGGTCATTACATCAAATGTTTGGGGCGTTTATTATTCTAGAGTTTTAATTGTGGCACAAGAAGAGAAATAGAGCAATGAAAGTTCAACAAGCTGTGTAAAGTTTCCGAGAGGCATGTGATAAAATGTCCGATGGCACTGCTTTGTCTGACGGAGCAAACAAGGCAGAGGGTGATACAATGACTGATGATTGGAAAACTAGTGGCAGCTGGTAAGCACAGCAGCTTTTTTGACAGCGGGGGATCTACGAAGAGCGACTGCAAGGACCCGGAACACAGATGCTTCTCCCGAATGGCGCAGCATACGGACGGACGGACGGACGGACGGGACGGGTTCGACTACCCGCCTCGAGGGGGGAAGGCGAGAGAAGAGTGGTTTTGGACAGAGCCGGGATGGCGGTGGAGGACGATGTGGTTCTGGGATAACGTATAGGTAGGAGAGCGTCCCAAGAGTAAGACATGGCCATGCCGTGCCGCCCTGACGAACAAAGCAGCCATGGAGCTTATCAGACTTATCAGGCGGTGGCTTGAATGAGCCAGGGGGGGGGCGGTATGGAGTGAAGGCTGAGAGACAGGGGAGAATGGGGCTTGGAGGAAAAGAGCTATGGTGGGAATTCCTGGAGAGCTCTCCGGATGGAGTCTAGCCGAGGGCGCTGGAGGGAATCAGAGAGCTGCGGTCGGCCAGCGGCGAGCGCCGTGCGACGTGCAGCCGGTGCGTTGCGAAGTGGGGGGCGGGGCGCGCATTGGTGGTGTTTGGCACCTCAGTTTGGGGTTCCAAGTTACCTTGGTCCGTACCTCGACAAGATTGGTATGCAATTGTAACCCAACCCAACAAATCCAATTCTACACTAGACTTTTGACTAGTTTTCTCCTATTGTTCGTTTGCTGCGTACTCCATAGTCATAGGAAGAAGCTACACACCAGGAGAGGTAAGCTTCTTTGCTTTGACAGTCCCGCCGAGCTGGGCCCCTCCACTGGCCCATCCCCTGTCAATCAGTCCGTCTCCGTATTCCGCGCCTTATCTCTTGGAGGGGTAAATTGGGGGGGCATACTGGGGAGACCCGAAGACCCGAACGTGGAAGGAGACGGCCGCTGGGCGGACTACCTTTACCTTAACCTTGACAAGAAGGACGAAGCACATGCGTTCTTTGGCTTCGCGTCATCTGTTGCACTGCATATATTTACCGTGTTCCCCTTCCCTTCCCTTTCTTTCCCCTTCGCTTTTTTCTTGCTTTTGAAGAGAGGGGTTTTGGGAAACTTGAACCGAAGAAACGATACCCATCTTTTGACCTACTTACCCTTTTCTGCATTACCTTACCTACCTCATCCTCTCCGTACTACCTTTTGCAACGTTCATCCCGTGACTGCTATTCTTCAAGGGCATTGACCCAGCAATCATCAGTCCGGTTCATCCTTCTCGTGGCAGTCTCGGTGAGAGTGAATTGTCAGCAGTAGCGATCACCTGCGCCTTTTGAAGCACGCAGGGAGTTGGAATCAAAGAAGAAGAGAGAATCGTAGTGGGGGTTTTTCGTTTCAACCGCCGCGGACTCTGCCGACGACAACCGAAGACCGAAGACAGATTATCCCGACGTCACAACCACCTGCGAACCAGTCTACCACTCAACCTTCAATTCCAACCCTAGTCTCAAGAGAAGCTCAATATCGACTCTGGTCAAGAGAGTAGACGGTCAGCAGTAACATAATGGGCGACATGATCCGGGACCTACCGCCCGCCGGCGCCGGCGCAACAGCAACCGAAACTCACACTCCCACGCAAGCGCAGTCGCAGCCGCGCAATAAGCTCTTCCTCGGCTCCTTCATCCACTCCAAGACAAAGGAGCAGCTCGAGTACCTCCACGGCGCGGCCGTCTGCGTCGATGCTGCTGGAACGATTGTCGCTGTTGAAGCCGAGTGCGATTTGAAGAGGGCCGAGGCGGAGGTTCTGCCGCGCTTGGGGTGGGCTGTTGGCGATGTCGAGGTTTGTGTAGGCAAGGAGGGGCAGTTTTTCTTTCCTGGGTTCATTGGTATGTTCAGGCTCGTCCTTTCTTTTTGTGCGCCCGGGATAATAATGATCGTCTGTCTCGGGATGCTCTCCCGCGCCGTAGTGAGACATCGTAACCAAAAACTAACCAAACCCCCACCACCCACCAGATACCCACGTCCACGCATCCCAATACCCAAACGTCGGCATCTTTGGCAAATCAACCCTCCTCGACTGGCTAAACACCTACACCTTTCCCCTCGAATACTCCCTCGCCGACCAGAAAAAGGCAAAACGCGTTTACACGGCCTGCGTGAAACGCACCCTCGCCCACGGCACCACCACCTCGGCATACTACGCCACAATCGACGTCGAGGCAACGAACCTCCTCGCCGACATCTGCCTCGCCCTCGGCCAGCGCGCGTTCGTGGGGAGGGTATGCATGGACCGCGAGGGTCTGTGCCCGGACTACTACAAGGACGAGTCCGCGGCCGACTCGCTGCGCAAGACGAAAGAGAGCGTGGAGCATATCCGGCGGATCGACCCGGCCTTTGAGCTCGTTGCGCCGGTGCTGACGCCGCGATTTGCGCCGGCTTGTTCGGGGGAGGCGATGAGGGGGCTGGCGGGGTTGCAGCGGGAGTTGGATGTGCTCGCGCAGACGCATATTTCGGAGAACGAGGGGGAGATTGAGCTTGTCAAAGAGTTGTTCCCTGAGGCGGAGAGTTATACGGATGTGTATGACAGCCATGGGTTGTTGGGTGAGAAAATGGTGCTCGCGCACGCGATTCATTTGTCGGAGAAGGAGGCGGATACAATTGCGGAGAGGGGCGCGAAGGTGTCGCATTGTCCGTGTAGTAATAGCTCCATTACCAGCGGTGCGGCGAGGGTGCGGTGGTTATGGGATAAGGGGATTGATGTCGGGTTGGGGACGGATATGAGTGGCGGGTACAGTCCTAGTATACTCGAGGCGGCGAGGCAGGCTGCGTTGGTGTCGAGGCACGTTGCGATGGGACTTCAGGGGGAGGAGAAGGAGAGGGCCAAGTTGACGGTTGAGGAGGTGTTATATCTCGGTACGAGAGGCGGTGCCAAGGTTGTTGGGTTGGGTGGGAAGATTGGCGGGTTCGAGGTTGGCTTGCAGTGGGATGCGCAACTGATTGGGTTGCCTGTTGTCGATGAGGGCGGGGAGCAGGAGGAGGATGGGAATGTTGATGTGTTTGGGTGGGAGAGCTGGGAGAATCGGGTTGCGAAGTGGGTGTTTAACGGGGATGATCGGAATACCAAGATGGTTTGGGTCAAGGGTCGGATGGTGCATTCGAGGAATTAGATGGAGAGAGCGTTGTTACGGTAGAAGGGACGCATGAGATATATGGCGTTTTGGTTACCTACTTATTCGCTGGCTGGTTTGATATCACTGGGAGTTTTATACTAGATGTACAATGAAGCTCAGAGCCGTTCACAGATACATTTGACCAAACAAGGACATTTCGTCGTGGACAATTGCAATGCAACTCAACTGGTCCAATCTTTCAATGCATGAGCAACCTGAACCTGATTGGGCGTGTCTGAACGCCCGTTGGATCACGAGGGAGGCGCGGTTCCTCCAATGAAGTCGAACTTGCCATATCACAATCAGGCTGCGTCTTGCCAAGTGAATGCATTCAACGTCCCTCCCAACCTCCCCGCCACCTTCATCTTCTCTTCTTCACCCCATCATTCCGCTTGTCTCTGTGTTCCTCGTCGCTGGCCACTCCATTTCCGTTCCTTTCTTGACCAAATCCTCAGCGTGGGATCACGCGGATCGACACCTCAGACGATCATAGCTACCGACAACCTCTGGCTTCTACTTTACTCGAACTATCCTACCGTACCTACTGGCGTAGTCACCCGAAACGGCCCGCCATGTCCGGCCTCGAAGGCATCGCGGGCTTGAGCCTCGCTTGTAACGTCATGCAGCTCATCAGCTTCGGCCACGAAGCCATCTCAATGTGTCGACGGGTCTACGAGAGCGGCTCCCCCGAACCTGGTCTCTCTGAACACGCCGAGAGTCTCAAAGCCGTGTGCGATGGTTTGGAAAAGTCCTTGGGTAAACGACCGATGCCTGCACCCGCTCCTGCTCCCGCTGCCGCCGCCGTCAGAGCACCGACAATGGAGAAGCGACTTCTCGACCTTGCCGCCAAGTGTATCAAGAATGCCCGAGACTTGGAGGAGGAGATGAAGTTCCTGTCTCCTAGTCAGCCAGGCAAAATGGGAGCGTTGGTTGCCGCGCCCAAGATATTGTGGCGGAAGAGGAGACTTGAGCGACTCAAAGGGAATCTGGATGACGCGCAGCGACTTATGGATACGTCGATTCTCGAGCGTCTGTTCGCCAGAGCAGAGGCACTCTACAAAATGAACGAGAAGGGTTTCCTGGACCTGAGTCAGGAGCTCAAACAGTTTATTACAGATTATGCGAAATCGAACAGCATCCTTCGAACTGTCGTTGAGACACAAGCGAGAGAGATCCGGGATCATGTCACCACGGCATCCTCGAAGACGCAGGATGCAATCAAGTCACATGTGTCCCTGGAACTTTCTAGTCATGAGACCTCTGTCAAGAATCACGTTTCGTCATCTGCCCAGGGTGTTCAGGATGCCCTTTCACAGAGGATGACGTCTAGGGAGGGCTCAAAGGCCAAGGAGCAGGCTTACCAGCAGCTTTTGAAGAGTCTCAAGTATCCAGGAATGAACGAACGAAGGAACCAGATTTCGCATACGCACCCAAAAACTTTTCGGTGGATCTTCAGTAACACATTTCAACTCAGCAACTCGGATTCGGGCATTGACGGGGAGTTAGAATGGCTCACAGAAGACGATTCCAGCAAACACAGCAATGAGCCTGCCGAGGTTGATTCGATGATCATTCGGTCAGAAGATTCAGTCGAGTCGTCGGGCAGCTTCAGAAGCTCGATACGTTCTCTTGAATCAACTGAGCCTCAACCTTGGGATAGTTTCGTCGATTGGCTGGAAGATGACACTCGTAAAATCTACTGGATTAGTGGCAAACCCGGATCAGGGAAGAGCACACTGATGAAATACATTGAAACAAATGACAGCAATATCAAAAACCGCGAACCGGCAGTTCGTTTTATATCACACTACCTGTGGAGACCTGGTACCTTTATGCAACAGAGTATCAAAGGGCTGCTCTGATCTCTGCTTCATCAAGTCCTGTCCGAAGACAAGAGAATCGCATTGGAAGTTTTAGAGAGGCAGCCTTCCTTATCGAGGAAAGATACAGACACCGACTGGACTGTACAAGAGCTTGAGACAACCCTTTTGGATTTGATACAAAAGTCGAATTGCCCATACTTGGTGCTTTTGGATGGCTTGGATGAAATCGCCGATACACCGGATGAAGGAGTTCGCCGACTTTTGGGCCTCGTTAATGACCTTGTTGCTACAGACCAAGTCAAAGTCTGCGTCTCTAGCCGCCCAGAGCCAGCCTTGAAGCGCGTACTCGAAAAGCACCCGATGCTCAGAATGCAGGATCTGACCAATCGAGATATCCACCTGCTCACGCGAGAACGACTTGAGGCCATGCAGATTGACTTTGACAATGAGACGGCCCACGATTTATCCAAAATCATCTGTGAAAAGGCTGAAGGAGTTTTCATCTGGGTCATCCTTGTTTTGGGTAGTCTCCAGAGGGGTCTTGCCAATTGCGATGATATGGACACTCTTTACAGCCGCGTGGAGTCACTGCCCAGAGACCTGACGAAGCTGTATAAGGAAATGTGGTCCAGAATGAAAGAAGACAGCGACCTCTATCGAAAAAAAACAGTGTTGCTTTTTTATATGGCAATTGAATTCAATGGAAGCCTTTGTTACCCTCATGCCTGGGGTTGTGAGAACAGTCTTCTTGGCCTCGTCATTTCCACAGATGACGAGATGCTGGATTCCTTCATGGTTTGTCACGAGATGCCCGATACGGAACTACTCTGGCAAAAGTGGCATCACTTAGGGAGGAGACTACCAGCAATGAGTGCCGGACTATTGGACATAACTGGATCCGAAGAAATTTTCTCCTCACGGAATACCTACGAGAGGAAACTCAAGCCTTGGGGCAAAACAGGCATCCATTTCACACACCGGACAGCTGTCGATTTCATTTGCAACAGCGAGGAGGGCAATGAACTTTTCGGTGCTTATGTTCCGAATCCGGACGACATTCTTTCACGGGCGATAAAGACCAACATAGTGTTACGGCGTGTCACCAATAGAACACATATCTCAACCACTACGTCCCCTTACAACACCTACTTGACACCAAAATACGACCGAACTGCGACATTTATTCAAAGCTTTCTCCCATTCCGAAGGTTGGCCAAGATCTCATCACGCCAAAGCATCAACGATGTTCTCTCGTCTTCATATAAGTGTCTCCAAATCATGGGGTTGAACATGAAAGACTGGAATTCAACATCACAGTCAATAAAGGCGCATCATGCCTTCTTAGCAAAAACGTTTTTATACGTTGACTTTGTCGACTGGGCCGAGGAGACACTGCAAACAGCGACAGCAGGCGTCGAAGAAGTGACCCTAGTGGAGTTACTGGCTCTACGAGGAGCATGCGAAGGGCTCATAGCTTTTGACTGGATGGACCCACTCAAGAGTCAACTTGAGAACAGTATTTGTCGGCTATCAGTGATTCAAAGAGTAGTGAGAAAGTGCTCTACCACCCGGCAAGGGTTGAATGACAGTATCATCCGACCATTTCAGCTGGCCTGCTCCAGGGAGATCTCAATAGCATGGCGCTGTCTCTTGATTCATACGCTGGGAGAAGTCCAGACGGGAGAACACACCTCCCTGCCGTTAGCTGATGAGGAGCGCTTGAGATGGTGGCCAAAGGTAGTAAAGGGCATTCATTGCTTCTTATCGACAAATGTATTGGAAGACTTAGGTCAGAAGTACATTGTTTCCATCCCACTGAGTATGGCCAAGATTGAAATCATTTCGGATGAAGATACCCGAAAGCCGACAGGGGAAATTCTCTTTGAAGTCAACGACGCTGCTATCCTATTATTGATCATTGAGAATGCCGAAAAAGGTCTATTCTCAGTGTCCCTGTTGAAACTTCTCGCTGAGCCAGTGTATCGTCCAAAGCTTTGCTATAGGGGATTCGATCCCGGCGATGTATTCATCGAGCCAGAATGGTATAAGTTCAACGAAGGTCTCTTAGAGGGAACCATTCATGGGAAGCGACTGTTCACGCGGGCGCTAAACTGGGAAATACAGGACTTATATAGCTTGACTTTCACATCTGGTGGTTCCTTCAATCTACACTTACGAAAGATAGGCCATTACCACGGTTGTACCTCGGCGCTTCGAGCCATCGGTTATGAGCTTGGCACCGTCAATAAGGATTATAAGTGTTTCCGTAAGAAATTCTATAGGGATGAGGAGCAACGATGAAGATAAAATTTCTACTAGAGTCTGTTCAATTATTGCTCATTACCTTACCTTATGTAGGTTTATGCAGTTTTCAGGTTTTAAAGACCGAGTGAAGTCTCCACAACCCTTGTCAATCATAGACGACAGCGATGAACAGCCGACACATCACATGAACTTCAGATGAATTAAGCAGTAATTATCGCTCAGTTCCTTTATACATCTTCCGTAATGAAACTCTTATAATTTTCCTTAAGCGTCACACATTTTACAGCAATAACTTCTGGTGAAGTCAGTAGTATTCGCACTCCGGAGCCCTTGGCGAAGATCCCCATTATCTCAGCTTCACAACGGCGAGAGTTCTCAAGCCCAAACTCACACATGTCAATAGTTGATATCGAAATACCATTTGGGTTGCACATCCTCTTAATCCTCGACACAGATGGCATTATTCATGAACCTTTTCAGCGTTATTATGGCTTGGTTGAGTAAATCATTTTCGGCTTGCATAGAGATGCTGTTTAAATCTAAGAGGAACTTGGCCTGCATGAAGCACATTGTGCTACTCGAGTTGAGTCCGAAGACGATCTGCTAGAAAGAGCTCAATGATACGACGCAGCGAAGAAAACTCTTGTTGGAGCTGAAAGTTCTCTTCGCAATGAACTACAGACTCCAGTAGATCTCACCTTGGTTCAGTCAACCCATCTCTGTTAGCCAAGCACATCCAGAACACCAATGTCTCACAAGTCGTTCAGCTCGGTCCCAGATCCATCCTCTTACCATCACCCGGATGTAGATCAGCGAGAAAGCCTCTCAACGCAGCTTGAGCTCATACAGCATGGAAACGACGAGGGCTACAATTGAGTCTGCGCTCTGCTGTTAGTATTTGCTTTGCCTCTGGTACCTGCCTCAAAGGAGTCACATGAGGCTGGTGGCCAAGACCCGTTTGGCCACATTACAAATGCGGGGTTCTTAAAAGTTGCCTCCAGGTGCAACCTCCGCGTGTTCGAGAGACTTGAGGCGCAGCTTTGCGAAAAGATAGACAGAAGTCTCGATACGACCGATGGTGGGGTGATTATGAATTGGTTGCCGCTGCATATGAAAGGGTCCGTACCTTATACAGACCCGGTTAGTCTTGTGCCTCCGTTCGGCCCTTTCAGTCTGCTACGTCGTTGGACGGTAACATTATGCAAGTCATGTCACTCTATCCAACAAGTCATGTCTTAGACTATTTGAGCTATCTGTTTGGGAGAGTTGTGACCCGATCGCTACTTCATCGCGGCCGCAATGTGGTTCATATAGCAGCAGGCACCGGTGGCCGAATCCTCAGGATGGGCGTTGTTCTTTTACTACTGCAAACATTGAAGGAAAGATTTAAAGGAAGGTGGATAACGGCGATGTCTACAGAGATTTGTGTGAAGCGCCCGGATTCAAGTGTCAGAAGGAAAGTAAGACGGCTGCGAGCCTGTGGCTTGAGAGGACACGAATGATCTGGCAAGGCAATCAAAGCTCTGAGCATGTATCAGAGTCAAGTTGCAGTAATCAAAGTAATCACGCCATGAGCCCATGTTGTGGCGATCAAAGGCTGGAATTATGAGTGAGGCGGCCTGTATGAAATTCTTGAATCTGTCCAATGTCACATGCACCGTTCCAGTTCAGGACCGCACAGCCTGGAGACCATAGTCTTAGACAGATAGCACCCATCATCTCTGCGTTGCACAATGTCGGGAGATGAATGGAAAATTAATCAATCTATTGAGACATTGGGGTGAGGATATGCGGGTTGCAGTTGCACAAGCCACCCAGCATTTTGTGTGCAAAGCGGCGACTGGTTCAGCTGTTCGGAACGGTCAGCAATGATCGGCGTAAGAGGGGTTGCAATGTACAATGGGAACTGAGTGCGATCGGGTTGTAACCTTTCCTTACGGAGTTATTCGTTCAGGATAACACTATATAATTGTCAGAAGCTGAATACGCTTGAAGTGAATTTAATGGCATATACCTTCGGCAACAGCATTGTAGTCTATCAGTTCAGCTATTTCCATGGTGCCCTACTATCAATAGAAATTCGATATTGATCGCAAATATGAGACTATATTTCACCTTCAGCATGCTGGTGGCAATTGCTAGTGTCAGCGCAACTAACAGCCATTCACCATCCGCCAAAATTGTTGTCAACCCAACAACGGTGTCTACACAGCAGCCGGTCCCGACCAAATATACCCTACCTAATGAAGATAATGACCTTTCATCAAGGGCAGAGGAAATCAAACTCAAGCAACAGGTGATCACCTACGGAGAACCACTGATAGGAGATACATCCTTCTTCCCCAATGGATCGTTAGGAACCCAGATTTCTTTGCGCGATCAGAGCTTGTGGTTGAAGGATTCGGAACCTGTTGCTCGATTTGCGATCCACGGAAGTGCCGTGGCGCTTGAAGACATCACCAAGGTAGCTCAAATTCTTTTCATCGATACGAATAATTGTTTGGCTGATATATGTGGTTCAAGCACGGTGGCCTTAAGCGTCTTGAGGACTTCAAGATCCTCTATGATGGTCACTGGTCAGGCTCGGTTCCTGGCGGCATCGCCAAAGGCCAGTTTAGCAACTTCACGTCAGACCTTTTGTTCGCTATGGAGCGCCTCTCGACCAACCCTTACATCATTCGCCGTCTAAATTACGAAAAGGACAAACTACCATTCACTCTGGACGATAAGACAGTCAGGAAGATTACTGGAACTACTCTCGACTCACTTCTTAGGGACGGTCGTCTATTCTTAGCCGACCACAGCTACCAGACAAAGTACGTCGCTCAACAAGGCCGATATTCGGCTGCGTGCCAAGCGCTGTCCTACCTTGACAAGCGCTCCGACCACTTTCTCCCCCTGGCCATCAAGACCAATGTCGGCGCTGATCTTACATACACCCCCTTGGACACGACTAATGAGTGGCTGCTGGCCAAGATTATGTTCAACGTCAACGACTTTTTCCACGGTCAAGTTTATCATCTCCTCAACTCCCATGACGTTGCTGAGATTGTCTACCTGGCTGCTCTCCGCACGCTCAGCAGCCGCCATCCTGTCCTTAACCTCATGGAAAGGCTCATGTACCAGGCTTATGCTATTCGACCCATAGGCGACAGAGTGCTTTTCAATCCGGGGGGCTTCTTTGACCAGAATTTTGCTTTTTCAAATGCAGCCGTACGCCAGTTCGGTACAGAGTTCTATCCGACTGTCGCCGGTCCGTTCCAGTGGAATTACTTTGAGGATAACCTGCGGTCACGTGGCCTGTTACACTCGTCCTCCGGCCCGAAAATTCCTCATTTCCCCTTCTATGAAGATGGGAAAGAGATTATTGGAGTCATCCGGAAATTCATTGAAGCTTTCGTTGAGGCAACCTACGCTTCTGACCGAGTGCTGGCCAACGATTGGGAGTTGCAAGCATGGATTACCGAATCCAATGGTCCTGCAAAGGTCATCGACTTCCCAATAGCGCCGCTGAGAAGCAAGCGCCGCTGAGAAGCAGGAAGCAGCTTATTGATATTCTGACGCACATGGCATGGCTGACGGGTGTGTCACACCACGTCCTGAATCAAGGTGAGCCCGTGACAGCGTCTGGCGTGTTACCACTTCACCCCCTTTCTCTGTATGCACCTGTTCCTACCAAGAAGGGTCGTATCGAAAGCCTCCTTCCTTGGCTGCCCAACGAGCAAAAGTCGGTTGACCAGATCACTCTTCTCGCACGGTTCAACAGGCCTCTGGTTGTCGAGAGAAATCAGACTTTACGGTACATGTTCAACGCCGAAAGTCTTCTCGCCGGAACCAACAAGGCTGTGGCGGTGGCAAATGACCGGTTCATGAAAGACATGGGTAGTATCAGTAAGAAAATCAGCGGGCGGCGCTTTGATGGCGAGGGTTTAAGTCAGGGTATGCCATTCATCTGGACTGGCATGGACCCTGGAGTGATTCCATTTTACTTGAGTGTTTAGAAACTGTTTGCACACAATTGGCCAACCCCTATGGCTCCTTTGGATATGGGTCACGTAGATGATTGGGCATGGACAATGATCAGGTCGAATCCCTGTGAGGGGGATGTGGGCAAACGTCAAGAATTAGCAATTGGCAAGAACGATCCATTTAAAGGGGAAGCCGATATGTCTAATAATACAACTCTAATCCATGGCACTATCTCCCTGACATCTGAAGAAAAGCGGGATAGGCATAGAGATTCAAAGAGTACCTAAGCTTGTCGCATCTGTAAAAAGATTAATGTTCCAAACACTTTTATAAGTACTCCTCAGCCTTTGTATAACGACTTGGGTGTCCTTCTCAACGTCTGGAGCGCAAAATCCTTAGCTTCGAATAGCTTGGTGACCGCCGCAATATCATAGCAGCTGCCACCGCGCCGCGGACTCCGGGACGGAGAAGTTATGACTTTCCTAACTTAGAGGGCAGGAGAGTCCGGGTCCCGAGTCAAGCCTCTTGGCGGACTCTGACGTAACAAGATAAATAGATGCGCATGAGTGGGTGCTGTGTCTGATTCTTCGGGAACGATATGAGTCGCGTTGCCGTCACTTCGACTCTTGGCTCTGCCGGGCCCTCCTCGCGAATCCCTACCTTATAGAAATGCTTTTGTGGGCTGGCAAGAGATGGGGGTGAAGTGTTCAGTCTGTTATGAAGTTGCTAGAGCGAATGATGCACAACGTATTACTCTTCTCGCGGACTCCAAGTTTTCTAGTTGGGATTACGGTGCATGCAAAGTCATCATAGGTGAGCAGGCTACGGGCCAAAAAGGATTGACTGCCAAGAGTTGAATAGCTGGAAAGGGTTCTTAAGACTGTTGATATCGCACCGCGTCGGCTCAAATCCGACGCGCCGCTCGGGAATTCTGCATAATACACTGCCGCTCCTCCAGGGGTCAGTCACCGGAAGTAGTCTGGACTCTGGGAAAATTCGCAACCACTTCGTCAGCAGATTTCAACAAGCGAAGGCTCTAGTTGATGCACCTTCTAGATTGAAGAACTTCTGGCAACCGTCGAATGGGACAGCTTCCGATTTTTTTGACGCCCGCATTCCGGTCTTGGGTTGTAATAGATGCGGATCTTGCAATGGCATTTCGCCAAGGCGAAAATCTCCTATCCACACCCATGACAACATCGGCGACACCACATCAGTGATCTTTCGGCTCGGGTCAACCGCGGCTCTCATCGGTCTCTCGATGCCTCCACTGATTATGCTTGGTCGTCGGGTCAAGGTTGATTCAACGTGCAGTGACCAAGCGGACCGCCCCTGAACTTACGCGGCCAGGAGTCTTGGCGGCCCGCCGGGGATGGCGTCCGGGTGCGGCTTGGGGGCTTCGGACCCCGGAAGTCAACCGTAATATCTGGACCATGATTGGCGAATCGCCTTTTACTATGCGACGAACTGCCGAATGGGGAATTAATCAGAACGTGGTTCTTCGGGATGTGGGAGAGACCTGTGTTGCGAACCCGACGTCAGTGGAGAATTGGAGATCGTGAAAGGTGGACTGCAGCTCGGTTTGGCAGTTTCACGGATCTGAGCGTGATGAGAGGGGTGCAATGGCTGACAAAAGAAACGTCCTGATGAGATGAACTTGTTTTCTGGATCCTCGTCAGGGGTCGTACGGGACGAAGCAGGGAAGATGATATTTTCGTCTATTCGTGGAAGGTGAAGAACAGTCGAAAGAAGGGATGAACGTATAAATGAAGGATCAGCTCCCGCGTTGTTGATCAGTTCTGGCTTGATCAGCAGCTTAGATCTCGGTAGCTTGACTTTGACAACAGGCCCAGGACATTCTCTCGTTGAACAGTCTTTACAACACTCTTTCTCGACTTACACTCTCTTTCAAACTACAACATGCAGTTCCAACTCCTTGCTCTTGCCACTGCCCTCCTTTCGGGAGTGGCTGTTGCCCACCCGGGTCATGACCACACTCTGAGCCACTCAGAGATTGCTCGCCGCTCTAACCTTGCCAAGCGTTGCTCGGTACAATCCGGCCAGTTCCAGGAGGTTCGCAAGAAGCGTCAGGCCGAGAAGCGCTCGCTTGTCAGCCGCTCTCTCGTTCAGCGCGACAGCAATGTCACTATTCATACTGAGGGTCCCCACTACAACACCCTTCAGAACGACACTTGCGTCCTGACCCCTGAGGTCACCAAGGGACCCTATGTCTGGCCTCAGTCTCAGACCCTGCGCCAGGACATGAGCGAAGACCAACCCGGCGTTCCTCTCTACTTAGATATCGGTGTTCTCAACGTCAACACTTGTGAGCCGATGGAGGATGTGCTGGTTGTGAGTGATCCTCAATTCCAATCCAAATCATGACGTTGGAAGCTAACCATCACCAGGATCTTTGGCACTGCAACGCTGTGAGTAAATCGAAAGGTTTCAACCCCAAGACTTTGACTAACGTGATTGCCCATAGACCGGATCTTACAGCTCGTTCACGGGCCACAGCCCTAACACTCCCTTCGAAGAGCTTCTCGACCAGCTCAACGTCACTATCGGCCCCGACTTGGACCTGCACACCGACGCCACTACCTGGCTCCGCGGCATCTGGCCCACCGACTCCAACGGCATCATGGAGATGAAGACCGTCTTCCCCGGCTTCTACGTCGAGCGCACCATTCACATTCATGCTCAGGTCCACACCGACTGGTCCGTTCGCAGCAACGGCACCGTCGTCGCCTCCAACATTGTCAGCACCGGCCAGCTCTTCTTCGACGAGCCCCTCAGCCAGCAGATCATGGCCCTCGAGCCCTACGTCAGCCACACCGAGATCAACCGCACCACCAACGACATCGACAGCATCTTTGCCGATGAGAGCAAGGGCAACTGGAACCCCAACATGATTGTCGAGCCCCTCGATGGCGAGGACGTTACCAAGGGCATGCTCGCCTATATCACCATTGGTGTTGAGGCATAAGTGACGCGGGATGGACAATGACTTTCGTATCGGATGTTCTATAGAGGCCGGCGTCTGGGGAATGCGTAGCATACTTTGGATGCTTAGAAGATGACAATAAAAACCTGGTTGAAAGCGTGTTCCGTCTGGTCAAACACAGCAATTAGTGAACCGAAGTCAGTGAACTTTTGTGAAGCTCCAACAAAATTGACGTCACACTTTTTACAATTGCCAAAGAGAAGTGAAACATGGAAGATTTACAGCGGATGATCATTACCACATTGTTGATTGGTATCATCTATATCATTGAGCACATGTCATACCCCCCTAATCTCTCACCTGAGTACCTATATTCTCAGGAATCTCGTTTTTGAGCCGCCCTTAATCATGTGCTAAATCTTCATTACACCGTCACACCGAGATCGTACTTAGATGGCTTCTCAAAGATTCTTGGGCTCCAGTTGCTCCTGAGGAGCTTCAACGACGCGACGCCCACCCTTGGAACGTCGATCAGCATCTAGAGACTGAGCAAACTTGGATCTCTCTCGGATGACCGGTCCCTTCCAGTAGATGAGATATACCGGAATTGTGACCATGAATGCCAGACAGGCGAGAACGGTGCTTGCATACTCAGTGTGGCGTGAACTTCCAATGTTCTCATACAATGGAGTAGAGTACATCGCTGCAATTCCAGCAAGGAAGTCGCGTGCAAACCCGTTACCACCGGTGGCAGACGCAGAGTAGGGTCCGTATGCGGCGATCATGTAATCAACCGTGCTCATGTAAATGGCGAAGTTGGCAATCGCGATAAGACATGAGAAGATCATGGGCGCGATCCAGTGAGATTCGGGAGGACCCATGGAGGTCCAAGCGAAGCCGAAGAGCCCAATGGTTTCGAGGGGTGCAAGATACAGCAACCACTTCAGGCGACGCTCAGGTGCAAGTGCATCAGGGCCCTTCGCCTTGATGACACGATGGTCTCTAATAATCCATGGCACATAGGAGATGTATGCGAGGATGTAGCCGATGTTGATTGGGATGAAAGCCCAGGCCTTTTGCAGAGTCCCGAAACCCCACTTGTTGAACACTGGCGTGAAACCTTCTTGGAAGGTGAAGATCAGGGCATCGGAGAAACCTGAAAGCAGAGAGCAGGAGAGAACGATGGGCTCTCTGAGGAACATCTCAAAGGGGCGCATCCATGTGATGGCAAACTCATGCATCGAAAGACGAGGCTTCTTGACCTCGTTGGGTCCGTAGATGTTGGTGTCCTCTCCGGACTTGCGTCGCCGCTTTGCTTCCCTGTCCATGATGATGGTAGAGCGGCTTTCGGGCATGAAGAAGTGGACGGCTTGGACGACAACGCCAAAGATCATCTGAATCCACAAGTTCCAGTACCACGGAAGGAACTTCTGAATAGGTCCTCCAGCGACAGGACCGACGGAAGTTCCGAGAACGGAAGACAGGACGACGAAGAGGACAGCCCATTGCTGCTCCTCGGGCTGGTACAGATCGGCAACCATGCCGAGGGTCACACTACCTCCAGCCGAGCTGAGACCGCCCTGTTCAAATCATACATTGTCAGTTACTGGTTCCCTAGAATAGAAAGATTTCTGACTTACTAGGGCTCGAGCGACAACTATGCTGCCGAAATTGGGGGCTAGTGCAGCAAGGATCTGCCATATGTTGACGAGAAACAGGGAGCATCTAGACTTGATCTTAGTTGTGTCAAGCTAGAACGGCCTCAAAGTACTCACTGTAGGATCTTCCATCGTCCAAACTCTTCACTCCAAGGAGCCCACAGCTCACATCCAAAAGCGTAGAGAACTAAGAACGCACACTGCGCACTGCGTGCGGCTTGCTCACTGACATGGAACTCCTCGCTGATAGGGGTGACAGCGCTAGGAAAGACACTCGTGTTGAAGTTCATAGACACCTGAACGGCAAAGATGGAGGACAGAAGCATCCACTTTTTCCATGCCGGCCACGAGTATCCCAGTAAATGATAGCACTCATCCTCGGTGATGATACGCTTCCCATCGGGGGTGTACTCAGGCTGCTTGCTGCTCG